TCATCAGTATCAGCATCATCAGCAGCATCAGTATCAACATCATCATATGCGTCGTCATCATCATCAGCAGTATCATCAGCATCATCATCATCAACGGCAACATCATCAGCCGCATAATCGTCATCATCAGTAGCAGCAGCATCTGCATCAGCATCAGCATCTGCATCAGCAGCCACATCAGCAGCATAACCATCATCCTCAACAGCATCATCATCATCATCAGCATCATCAGCATCATCATCAGCATCATCATAAGCATCGTCATCGTAATCAGCATCATCGAAACCATCATCAGTTTCCTCATCGTCCTCCTCCGCCTCCTCCTCCTCGTCCTCATCCTCATCCTCATCATTCTCCTCATCCGCCTCCTCGTCCGCCTCATGTTTCTGCGATTGCTCCTGCTCATGCTCCTGTTCCTGCCCCTGCTCCTGCAACTGCTCCTCCTCATCCTCCCCCTCGTCATCCTCATCCTTCTCCTCCTCCTCCTCCTCCTCTTCATCCGCCTCCTCCTCCTCCTCCTCCTCGTTCTCAGCCGCATCCTCCGCCCTCCTCCTCTTCCTCCTCCTCCTCCTCCGTCTCCTCCTCATCCTTCTCCTCATCTTACGTCACCCCCTCCTCCTATCTCACCCTCCCCCCCCCCCCCCACCCACCCCACCCCACCCCAACCCACTCCACCAAGCCCACCCACACACACACAACACACAAACACCAACACAACACAACACAGCACAGCACAACCACAACACAACACAACACTACAAAACACCACACAACAACACAACAATACCCAACACAACACAACACTTCACAAAACAACCCAACATCACACACACACACATACCCCTCCTCCTCCTCCTCCTTCTCCTCCTCCACCTCCTCCTCCTCATACTCCTCGCGCTCCTCCTACGCCTCCTCTCCTCGTCCTCGACCTCCTCGCACTTCCTCCTCCTCCTCCTCCTCCCTTCCTCCTCCTCCTCCTCCTCCTCCGCCTCCTCGCGCCTCTTCCTCATATACCTCCCCCTCCCTCTTCCTCCCCCTCCAACTCCTCCTCCATCCTCCTCCTCCTCCTCCCTCCTCCCCTTCCTCCTCCATCCTCATCCTCCAACGCCTCCTCCTGCACCCCATATCACCTCGTCCTCGTCATCCTCATCCCTCAGCCCCCACCGCTCTCCTCCCCCACCCCCTCCTCCTCCTCCTCCTCCTCCTCCTCCTCCTCCCCTCCTCCTCCTCCTCCTCCTCCTCCTCCTCCTCCTCCTCCTCCTCCTCCCCCTCCGCGTCACCTCCGCTTCGTCCGCTTCATCCTCCTCCTCCGCAGCATCATCAGCATCATCATCATCATCATCATCATCATCATCATCATCATCATCATCATCATCATCATCATCATCATCATCAATCATCAATCATCATCACCATCATCATCATCATCATCATCATCATCATCATCATCATCATCATCATCATCATCATCATCATCATCACAAGCATCATCATCATCATCATCATCATCATCATCATCAGCATCATCATCAGCATCAGCATCATCATCATCATCATCAGCAGCATCATCATCAGCATCATCATCGGCGGCATCAGCATCAGCATCATCATCAGAATCAGCATCAGCATCAACATCATCATCATCATCATCATCAGCAGCATCATCATCATCAGAATCAGCACCAACCACAGCATCATAGTCCTCATGATCAACATCATCAACACTATCACCAGCATCATCAACATCCGCATCACCATCCGAATGATAATCATAACGATAATAATGGTAATAATAATGGTACTACTGATAATAATAACTAATGATGCTAATGATAATGATGGTGATAATAGTATTCAGGACAAGAAAAACAATAATAACAGCATTAATCATAAGCATCATGAAAAAATAATAATAACAATAATGCTGATATTAATAATAATAATCATAATAATAATAATAATAACTCCGACGGTAGGACCCCACATGAGAATCTGTTTAGCTTACCCGTTGCCCTTTCCTCCTCCCCCTGGCGGATACCCTCTCCTCTCGCCCCCTGCACTGCCCTCTCTTCCCCCTTCTATTTCTATTCCTCATCCTCTTTCTCCTCCTCCTCCTCCTCCTCCTCCTCCTCCTCCTCCTCCTCCTCCTCCTCCTCCTCCTCCTCCCTCCTCCTCCTCACCTCCTCCTCCTCCTCCTCCTCCTCCACCTCCTCCTCCGCACGCGCCACCTCCTCCTCGTCGCCGGCCTCCCCCATGCCCCTTCCCTCCTCATCCCCCTGCCTTTTCTCCATGTGCACCTCCCCTTCCCCCTCGTCGGGGCAAGCAAACCCATTTTCCTCAGCGCCGTCGCCGCCTCGGCCAGCGCCTCGGGGAGCGGGCCCCATAGGGAGGGGGTTCCCGCCTGAGACTTCCTCTCAATTCACTCACAGACGAAGCTCCCGCTCGAGACTTCCTCCATATCCAGGTCTCAAGAGCCCAAAAGTGACGACAATTGCACGTTGCGGATGACCCGCTCGGATTCGAACATGAAGCGCGGGCCCCATGGGGAGGGGGCTCCCGCCTGAGACTTCCTCGCAATTCACTCACAGACGAGGCTCCCGCTCGAGAACCGCCATACTCAAGCTTTCAGAGCCCAAAAAGTGACGACAGTTTACACGTAGTCGGATGACCCGCTCGGGTTCGAACATGAAGTGCGGGCCCCAAAGGGGGGGGGGGCTCCCGCCTGAGACTTCCTCGCAACTCACTCGCAGACGAGGCTCCCGCCCGAGACTTCCTCCATATTCAGGCCTCAAGAGCCCAAAAGTGACGACAGTTACACGTTTCGGATGACCCGCTTGGATTACCAACGTGAAGCGCGGGCCCCATAGGGAGGGGGCTCCCGCCTGAGACTTCCTCGCAATTCACTCACAGACGATGCTCCCGCTCGAGACTTCCTCCATATTCAAGCCTCAAGAGCCCAAAAGTGACGACAATTGCACGTTGCGGATGACCCGCTCGGATTACAAACATGAAGTGCGGGCCCCATAGGGAGGGGGCTCCCGCCTGAGACTTCCTCACAACTCACTCACAGACGATGCTCCCGCTCGAGACTTCCTCCATATTCAAGCCTCAAGAGCCCAAAAGTGACGACAATTGCACGTTGCGGATGACCCGCTCGGATTACGAACATGAAGTGCGGGCCCCATAGGGAGGGGGCTCCCGCCTGTGACTTCCTCGCAATTCACTCACAGACGAGGCTCCCGCCTGAGACTTCCTCCATATTCAAGCCTCAAGAGCCCAAAAGTGACGACAGTTACAGGGTTTGGATGACCCGCTCGGATTACCAACGCGATCTGCGGGCCCCATAAGGAGGGGGCTCCCGCCTGAGACTTCCTCACAATTCACTCACAGACGAACTCCCGCCTGAGACTTCCTCCAGGTGATTATGTGAATGAGTGAGCGTGTGACAGAGTGCGAGTGATGATGATGATGGTGATGATGATGATGATGATGGTGATGATGATGAGTATGTGAGTGACTGAGCGTGTGAGAGAGCGCGAGTGATAATGCTGATGTTGATGATGAGAGAGTGTGAGTGAGTGGGAGTGTGAGTGAGTGGTGATGATGATGAGTGAGCGAGTGAGTGTGCGAAGGCAAAAGAGGAGAGGGGGTGGGGTGAGTGTTCCTGCGCGGGGTGTGCAGAGAAAACAAGAACCCCACTTTGGATGTGGGGAATAATAATAATAGTAGCTATCAGCATCATCATCGTCATCAGCAACAGCAGCATCAGCATCGTCAACAGCATCATCATCAACATCATCATCAGCCTCACCACCAGCAACAATATCGCCAGTATCATCATACGCATCAACGTCATCAGCATCATCAGCATCATCAACTCAGCATCAGTATCAGCATGATCATCATCAGCACCATCGTCATATTCGGTATCATCACCATCAGCGACAGAAGCCTCATCATCGCCAACATCATCATCCTAACCAGCATCATCAGTGTCACAAGTATCAACATCATCATCAAAAGCATCAGCATAACCATGATCATCACAAGCATCATCATTATCAGCAGCATCAGCATCATCGTCGTCATCAGCATCATCATCATCATCATCATCATCAGCATCATCATCATGGTCATCAGCATCATCATCATCGTCCCACGCCTCCCCCTCCTCCTCCGCCCCCTCCTCCCCCTCCTCCGCCCCATCCTCCCCCTCCTCCTCATCCTGCTCCTCCTCATCATCATCATCCTCATCCGCCTCCGTGTCCTCCTCCTCGTCTGTCCCCTCCTCCCCCACCTCCTCCTCAGCATCCCCGTCCTCCTCCTCCTCCTCCTGATCCTGCTCATGCTACGCATCCACATGCTCC